TCATTGATCAGCTGCCTCCTGCATGCCCCCTGCTGGGGATCAAGCCCACAACCCAGGCATGTGCCCTGACTAGGAATTGAACCATGACCTCCTGATTCATAGGTCAATGCTCAACCACTGAGCCACGCTGGCCTGGCCTTATAGGCTTATTTTTCCCCCTCTCAGTAGGGTTTGCTTGTATAACAGAAAGACTAGACATAGGATGAAAAGGTTAAAGCCATTGCGGGACCCAAAGCTAACACTATATGGGAAATGCAGAAAAAAATATGAATCAGGTGTTTGGGGACCTTTTGAAACCTAGGACCTAATCAGGCTGCCTGGGAAAACATGCAGAGATGTGGCAGATCTTTGAGAGATGACAGTGAGGTGAGTTTCCAGCACAAACAGAGACATGGAGGACTTTGGGCATCAACGTAGACAGATTTCTAGGTGGGGATCTCTGTTGTCTTGGAAACACGACCCAAAATAAGGAGACATTTGGTGGGAAGATAGAGAAAATTTCAACTTGCTCAGGGGTTACGGAGTCACATCTGACTGACGTGCAGAGTTTAGTAACTAACTCCCAAATAAAGATTATTTAATTCACTATAAACAAGCCATTTGATATGCATATGAAGGTTGTAGACTCTTTTAAATTAAATTTTATTTTTTATTAAATTTATTGGCGTAATACTGTTGATAACATGATATAAATCCCAGGTGTTCAGCTTCATAACATCTGTATGCTCTCTTATGTGCTCTTGTAGAGTCTTAATATAAAAGTGGAATAAAGTACATCAAACAGCAGGCAGGCAGGGCCATTGCACAATTCTACGCCCATTTTCTAGTTGCTTCCTGGGACTCGATAGTTACAGGACAGAATGGTAGGAATGTCTAGCCAGCTACGTAGACTTCCCATTAGTGGTTCTTAGATTCTAGTTTGCATGAGATTTATTATATCGGGCTGTTTACACAAGTCATGTAGCTTATATTTACGGGGCAATTTTGACAATGCTAGACATGGTTTTGCTGCCAGTAGCCCTAATGAGATGTTGGTCAGAGAGAGGATGCATTCAGCTGACAGCCCTGTGTGAAGTGCCTGTCTGCGGTCAGGGTGTGTCTGCTGCTCTTAGCACTCCAGGGATGGTGGAGACAAGGTGACTGGAAGAGTCAGGGGCCATGTGTGCTGTACCAAGGAAGCAAAGGACACCATTCTGGTAAAGCCTGGCCAGGCCCTGGGCCTGTGTGTTCATGTTTCTCGGATGGACTGATGAGACAATTCATCTTGTGTCAAGTTCAGCAGTGGGTAGCCCTGATTGTCAGTAATCTGCCCAGAGGACTTGGTAGCTCACCACTGAACTGGGGGATAACTTTGCTTTCAGAGGACATTTGACAGTGTCTGAAAGCATTCCTGATAGTCTCGACTGAGAGAAGCTGTGGATGTCCAGTAGGTAGAGGAATACAGCTAACCATCCTACAACGCATGGGACAGCCCTACAGCAAAGGACTACGTCCCCAAAATGCTGACTGTGCCAAGGGCGAGAAAGCCTGTGCTAGTAACTTCCTTCCCTAAATTTCATTGGAAGCAACAGTGACTATATATAGGGTGTCCCAAAAAACGTATACACACTTGTTTTCTGATAGCTCAATTGATGTTTCTTTCTTTTCAGATTTAACCCATTGGAATTAATAATTATTCAAAGTGTGTATACATTTTGGGGGGACACCCTGTATAGAAGCCTTGGGAGCTAATGGATGCCTCATGGAAATATGAGTTCAGGAGGGTGAGATGTGGACCTCAGAAGTTGACAGTGGGGACTGGGTTATTCATTCTGCCATTGTGCACCTGACTCCACCCCCCAGAGCACGGTGCATGGTCCATGCTGCTTGCTAATCCAAGGAAAAGTGATGAGGTCCAATTGGACTTGGTTGAGTCCCCAGGGGATGCTCCCCCACCTCTGTGCTCAATGGCTGCTTTGTACTCAGCTCCCACGTGTTCTCCGTGGAGCCCCAGGGAGAGCCACACCATTGTGTTCTCACCTGTTCAACAGGTTTTGTCTGCACAGCCTTTGAGAAATCAATACCAGTCCAAGGGGAAGAAAAGCACTGTTGGCTTTTGATTCCTGGAAGGCAAGGTGACCTCTATCGGTGCAACTCTAGACTGTTTTGTGAGATTGGGAGGAGGGTGCTCCAGATGCAGTCTTAGTTTTATTATTTCTTCTCTTGCCCCTCAAGGTTGCGTGCTCTTTGGTTTGAGTAGATCCAACGAGTCTGTTTTCGCATTGGAACCTGTTTTCTTAATTCTTACTCTGGGGTGTGTAATTGAATCTGGATCCTGAATTGAAGCGCAGATATAATACACTGTCCTTAGAAATCTCAAGTGAGTAAAATACTGTACAGACTCCAAGGAAGCTGTAGGGCACCGACTGCCTGCTTATATTGGAGCACAGAAGGCTCCATCATTGAGGCTCCATCACAGGAGGCTCCTTCGTTGAACCAGTCTGGAGTTGGCTATTCAGGTGATTCCAAGGTTTAGGAATTGCAACCAAAATAGCAGCTGGCATTGTTATGGTTTAGTTAATAATTACTTCTTGAGAAAACACCCTAGAAAAGTAAAATTACTTGAAAAGAATCCAAAACTTTAAGGCTTTGGTGCAGTTTGCCAAATGTACCTCTGGAGAGTTGTACCAGTTTATAGTCTGAATGGATGTGTGTGGACACGAGCTCTCTTCTTCAGAAGTCACACCCAAGGGATACGACAGGAGTGTCCACTGTCCAGAGTATGGGGAATGAACCTACCAAGTTATGACCCAGCGACTATGAGAACTCATTATTGCTGTTGCCCTTACTTACTTGGCTTTAGCCAATCAACTCTTTCAGGAACATACCAGACATGCTCCTGCCTCAGGGCCTTTGTACTTGCTGTTCCCTTGGCCTGTGATGTCTGCCTCCATGGCTCACCTCCTCACCTCTCATAAGTCTTTACTCGCATCCTGCCTTCTCACTGACTCTTTCCCTGGTTTCCCTGTTTAAAATTCTACTCCCCTTTCCACAAAGATAGACTCATATGCTTCAGATTCTCCCTGCCTGCCCCATGTCTCTCCATATCCCTCAGTGCCACCTGACACCTAGATCCCCAGCACCAAGAACAGGCATGGAGTAGGGCTCACTCATGACGTGGTGGGTGCGTGATTGGCTCTCACTGGTTGGCACTGATGGGCTGCCCAGTGGGCTTCCCTCCTTGTCCTGGGCCAGAGCCGCCGCAGTTTTGTTTGGGTTCATTTCCTTTACTTGGCAGCTCTGGTGGAGCGTGATTTATAGAGCTGCTGGTGTTGTCCAGGCTGCCGTTATTAGCTCTGTCTCTGTCCTCTCAGTAACGCCCAGCTGTCACTGAGATAGAACTGACAAGGCTTACTATGGTCTGATAAACACCCATGTGCACATGTCTGATGAATATTCATACAATTTCTTAAAAAACGACCAAGAACCCCAACAGAAAATGCAGCAGAGGATTTGGACAGTTCACAGAAAAGTAGAACTGGGACCTTGCCTTTTTGTGTTCAACCTCACTGTAAGAGAAATGCAGGTCAAAAGTGCACTGAGTTCTAGTTTCTTCAGCGTGTCAGGTGTGCTAAAGTGCACTCTGTTGGCGAGGCTGTGTCAGTCGGCAGCCCCATCCGCGGCGGGAGGGAGAGTGGTTGGTACAGCCCCGAGGGGAGATGTTTGGGAATGGCCATCGGAATTGAAAACTGCGTGTGTTCTTTGACCCAGCAATTTCACTCTGTTCCTTGTCAGGATGTATTTGCACATGCGCAGTGTGGTGTATATGCCGGGTGACTGACACAGCCTGGTCTGTAACAGCCAAAGGGAAGAGATCACCCAGTGGCCCACGGCAGGCGACGGGGTCAGCGGATAGGTTATTTCCATGCAGAAAGCTGTGATGCAGCTGTGAAAGGAGCAGGTGGCAATATTTGTATTAATACAGGAAGAGTTAGAAGATACAAAAAAGCCTACACACAGGGTAGAGAATGCTGCTGCTTATATAAAGGGGAAGCACAATATGTTTTTGTATTTGCCTTATGTAGGTGAAGAAATTATAGAGGGACACAGAAGGCACTAATACCAGTGGGTAGCTGCTGGGCAGGATGGGGTCCGAGTGGATACTGGGTAGATGGATATAGGATATAGGATGGAATCTCCCCTCAAGAGGAGGGAGACTCTACATTGCATGCCATTGCACACACAAACATGCACGCCCATGTGCACGTGTGTACACACACACGCCACTCACACACATTCATGTTTTGAATCATGTGAGGTCTCACCTGTTCAAAAATATTAAGTTCAAGAGATCATCTTAAAAGACACAGGCTAGCCTGGGAGAGGATGACCTCCCTACTTTGTATCAGCAGCGCTGTTCATTCAATGGGAAGTTGAGGTCGCTCTGAACGCCACGTGTCTCCATCAGCCAGTCTGCTCCCCAGAAGGTGCACTGTGTGACCAGGCCTTGGGGAGGGGTGTGTGTCACATGTGTGTGAACCTCGGGGCATCGCTCCTTCCTTGTGACATCCTGGTTGCTATAGCTCAGAGCTCTGTTTGTGACACACAGAAAACACTTTAAAGAAAGTCTGCTTCCTGACCTTGACTTCCTGGGCAGTCTGTCCTTCCGGAGAAAGCTGAGCCCGGCCTCGTGTGTTTCTGGACAGAGCGAGTCCAGCTCACTGCAACCCTGGCACCATCTGGAACCAAACCCGGGGCAAGGGGTGCCTTGCCTTCCGCCAAGAGTCAGGACGCCATCCCCTCCGGGGCCATGTCCCCTGATAGCTCTGACTCTAGGGCGTTGGCACCTTCCCCTCCTCTGTCTTGTCTCCTCCGGGCTGCTGGGGTGCAGTTGGCGCCTGTGCCTTCTGTCCCCAGAGCCGTTTCTTGTACCTAAACCACAGTGAAAACAGGAAGTGATGCAGCAGGGCCCGCCTCGCGTGTGCTCTAGCAACCTTCTCTCTCTTTTTGTCATTCCCCATCAGGGATAGACACGTGTGGCTGGCACCGCAGGAGCCCAGGGCACCAGCTTGGGACCTTCTCCGCTTCACCATGCCGCCCCCCTCGGACATCGTCAAGGTGGCCATAGAGTGGCCCGGCGCCTACCCCAAACTCATGGAGATCGACCAGGTTGGTACTGCAGGGAACAGTGTGGGGCTGCTGTTGGTTTCCCTTCTGTTCTGGAATTTTCTGTCTTTGAATGGCTCTTCCCCCTTTTACCTCTCTGGCTGTGTTGAAAAGCCTGTGTGGTAATAGTCGCAGTGTGGTGTGGTTTCTGTACCCCACTCAGTGGCGATCATAGGCTGCTTACTCCTCCAACAGCTACTGGGACTGTGTCACCACAGGGCTTGTGTCTGAAGCTGGGAGGAACAAGTGGACTGACTGCTGGCTCCAGGCGGGTGACACAGTGGAGGCTGTCCCAGCCCCACCTGGTGGGGACTCATGAATATGTGCAGATCGTTTTGTCCTGGGCAACACAGAACCCAATTTTTTTAATCCTGTTTCTCTTTGAATTTTGCAGAAGCGGCCAAGTGCATTATATTAACAGCTTGCTAATGAAATTAGTGTCATGGGGCTGGGTCTTGGATCCCAGACAATTGTAATTTTATGATTAGTGTGAAATGCCCTGTGAGGCTAGTCGATTGCCTGACATGTAATAAATACTCAGTAAACGTTTACTGAGTGAAAAATATACAAGACCATTTAAACAACAATTTTACCTAGTAAGCATCCTTTAGCTGGGATCATGTCCGTTCTTTGGTGCAGCTGGCATTTACTGTTTCATTACAGGTTATCTCAGGAAGGTTACCTTGTCCTTCCAGAACAAATGACTTACAGAAGAAAGGGTTGAGACTTAATACACAGTGAAGGGTCTCATAGAGCAAATAGCATAGGATTCTAGATGGCTTTCTCCCTTTTAGAGTTGGGATACCATGGCTCCTCCACTTTTTATTTATATTCTTGGTGCTATTTTATTTCCTGGTCAGATTTTATTATCTGGTTGAAGGTTATGGCATTGTGTGGATCCAAAGAACTCATTAAAATAAATCATAAAATCAAGTCAGAATTAATGTAGATGTTTAGGATTGTTGTCAAAAATGGTGTCATGAGTCCAGTACACCGTTGTCATGTAACTGCTCTCAGAGGCAGTTCTGTGTGACTGGAGGCAGCCACGCAGTGTCCAGCAATTTATATACATTTGTGTCAGCAGCAGCTGTTTGCCCTTTTCACTTGCTGCTCGAGGAAGGAGACCTGTTGAATTTTACTTTAAAATATGTCTGGGATGACTTGGTACAGACTAAATGTAGTTAGGGGTAGGTTTGGCTATGACCTAAGAGAACGGCACTTCTGTGAGATAGAAGCTGACTTCTGGGCTTGTGCGATGCTCCAGTGTCATGGCCCAGGTGCCTTCTGTCTGTTGCTCTGCCTCCTCCATGGGTGGGGCTGAGGACCAGTTGCTTGGACATCACTTGGTAGCTCATTAGATGTGCAGTCTTGAATCCTACCTCAGACCTTCTGACCCAGAATCTGCATTTTAACAAGATCCCAGTCTAAGAAGTGCTGAGCTGTACATCTGGTGCCCCAGCCTCAGTGCTCAGGAGAACCCCTTGGGGCCCTATCCCAGGAGATCCTGAATCAGCGATTCAGGTACTCGATTTCCTTTTGACTGCCCTGGCCCGAAGTGTTTAGGAACATCTGCTTTAAGGCAGCAGCTCCAAGTACCCACTCCTGGGGCCTGTGCAGTCAGTATCCTGTCCCTACCTTGGGGGATGGCCTTTGCTGTGTGTGTATTAATAATTTAAAATATATATTTAAAAATATTTTGGAACAATTTCAGATTTTCAGAACAGTAACTCCAGCTCAGGCCACCAGCCTGGCCTGCTAGCTCATCTCTCTGATGATGTACTCATCCCCTGTATTAACCTTCAGGTGCCTGCAGAATAGAAGCGAGTGGCTGGTGACACTGCTTAAACGTGAACCTGAAGAAAGGGGGTCTGATAGGTGCTACTGACTTTTGGAAGTTATTTCATGTAGGGGAGAGACCATTTGATGTATCATTGTGGCCCCAGGCATAGAGACTCCATGCTCCATACGAGGAAACAGTTCTCACCTCTACTCAAGGAAAGCAAGCCCAGGCCACATTGGTGGGCGAGGGGTCCTGCTCATTTCCATGAGGCTCATGTGAGCATCAGACAAGCACGGGACAGGTTGCCATGCGCCAGGGTCAGGCCCAGAGGATGATGGGAAGAAGTGTATGGATTTAACCCTGAGCTCTGCAGACCCTTCTCCAGTGGCTCGGGGGTGAGGGGTGTGTGGCTTCAGGCTTTTGTAGGATACTTCAGCCACAGCAGCTGGGATTGACCTGTTTCCATTTGTGGGTGCTTTGGGGAAAGATTTTATGTGAAGAAAGAATACCACAATTAAAAAAAAAATCAAATCATGGCCCTGGCCAGTTTTGCCCAGTGGTTAGAGCATCAGCTCGTGGACTGAAAGGTTCCTGGTTCGATTCCGGCCAAGGGCACGTACCATGGTTGCAGGCGCAATCCCAGGCCCAGGGTGCACATGAGAGCCAACCAATCGATGTGCCTTTCTCCCATTGATGTCTGTCTGCCTGTCTGTCTGTCTCTCTCTCTCTCCCCTCCCCCTTCCACTCTCTCCGAAATAGCCATGGGAAAAATATCCTCAGGTGAGAATTTAAAAAAAAAAATGAATGAGGCTTGAGCTCTCTCCTGATCCTGGGATTCGAGTCAGATTCCTTAACCTGGCCTCGGGAAGCTTCATGACTTTTCCCGCATACATCTGCTGGTGTTCACGTTACCCGAAGGTGCCTCGTGCAGCTCAGGCACCCTCCTGTTTTGTAGGAGCTGCCCCTTTACAGGTGCATCCCTGCACATTTACACACTTTTAAAATCTCTTGAAGCTTTTTTCTAACAGTGATTCTGCTGGAATCCCTCCCGCCTCATCTTCAGCTCTCCACGCCTCCAGATCCTGGCTTTGCTTAGTGCGGTGGAGGGAGAGCCTCCTTTGTACGCAAACCTTTTGGGATTGTGTAATAATGTAGTCATTTCTCCACCCTTCTGGTTTCTTACACTGTCCCCTTTGCCTGTAGCTTTATTTATAGTTAGTATGCTCTTTTGGAGTAGATTACATGGCCCCGTGGTCATCCTGGGTTTTACACACATTTGTGTCCTGTGGTCCATCCATCACGTTGACCTCTATTTTTGGTTTCAGCAGTGAACAGTAAAGATAAGAATAAAATTTAGGTATTCACCCTTCTGCAAACAGAAAAGTTACAGTGGTGCCCCCTCCCCATGTCGGGCTGGGGATTTTATTTCCCTGAGAGAAACACAGCTGCGTGTGATTTCAGGCAAGCATGGACAAAATAGTTGTGTGCAGTTCTCCCTCACCCATCCTACTTGTGTAGTATATTTAAGATACAGTTCAATATGCACACATTTGATTTACTCGAGACCTTTGAAAGCTTATTAATTGCACAAAGCACATTGAAGTTTCTGTGCTGGACATTGGAACTTGGCATTCTCTATGTGATAGGAGTAGTAGGAATGATGATAGCGTGGGCCACCTACTCAGCACCTGCCATGTGCCAGGCAGCAGGTGGTGTGCGGGTGCGGAGCATTGGAGCATTTTATCCCAGGTGGTCTTCACACTTCCTCGGTCATAGTTGTCGGAGGTTCAGCCGTTTGCCGGAGATCACACAGCTAGGGAGCTACCAGTTTGAAGCCAGCATGTGGGACATGAAAACCCGGGCAGTTTCTAGTAAATCATAAATCTGCTTGGTAGTTCTTAAAATGTATTTCTTCGCAGCTTTATTGAGATCTAATTGACATAAAATTAGAAGATATTTAAAGTGTATATCCTAGTGATTCAGTGTATGTCTCTATTGTGAAAGGGCTTCCCACTCGAGCCTATGAACACATCCATCCCTCACATTTATGGTCTCTTCCTTTTTCTTTTTTTGGTGAGCACATTTAAATTCTACTCTCTTATACAGCAGTGTGTATCAATGGTAGTCACCGTGGTTTCCATGAGATCCTCAGGCTCGTTCATCCTGTAGCTGAAAGTCTGTTCCCTTTTCCTGACCTCTGCCTATTTACCTCACACCCCTAGCCCCTAGCCCCCAGC